AGTCTTATCTCAGTACCTGTCTGCAACAATACATTAAAGTTGGATTACAATAATAATACAAACATCACCAGGAACCTACCATGCCACTTAAGAAGCAGATAGACTATAAGAATGGGTAATTTTCAAACATAACGGCGCATAACTTACCCGTGTTTCAAACTTGTAATCAGAAGAAAAAGATGCATCAGCTTCATTGCTAATATCTTTTCCAGGACTTCCACTTCTTTCCACGCACTCACTCAGGTGCGAACGTACTGTTGAAACACCTGCTTGCAGCTCTGTAAGTTTCTCAATCGTTTTCAACAGATCACTTTCTTCAAGCTTTTGTCTTTGCTCCTCAAGAGACATGCGAGAACTGGAGCGGGACCGCTCCTGCTGAGACGGCCATTGTTAGCCGGTGTACATGCAAGTGAGCAATATAGGCGTATATTGTGCATAAACTAAACATGATGCAAGTTCCCGTCGGACCATGAATGCTGTCCTCGGACGGTTAGGATGACGTCCTCGGACCATGATGTCCTGGGCCATGAAGCGCAAAATTAAGGATTCGCAGGCTATGAAATGACGTTCTCGGGCCATGATGAGTGGTGCCTCGAACCNNTTGATCCAGGGTCTACTTATTCATATGTATCATCTCTGTATCTACCTCCGCAGTTGTTCCAAAAGCCTAATGTTTTCACATGCGAATCGAGTAACTTCTGGATTTCTATCAACCTTAGCTTGAAGAAACTGAATTTCTTCAGTAAGTGCACTGTTTTCCTCCAATAAATAATTATCTGCTGGTATTAGTCCATTGACAAGTGACTCCATCCTTTGAATTTTCTCTTCTCTGAACTTTACCATCATCTTATTGCACCTATTATCTTCCTCCCTTTGACGAACCTAAGAGATAAGTATAATAACAGTAGTATTCAGGAACAAAGTTAGTTATCTTATTGCAGTACTATTGCAAATGTCAAACCAAAACAAAGAAATGGGAGAGAGGCAAAAAAGTGAAAAGTGGGTCACCAGACGGTTAAGCTGCTCGATTTCAGCTTCAAGTTGTTTGATAGAAGTTTCGGCCATCTGCTCTCTCCTTAAAGCACCGGCTAGAGTGGTCTCTAGTGATTTCAACTGAAAAACAAAGAAATAAAAGCAAGAGGAATCATTGCTCAGCAGAGTAGATAATCACTTGGAAAGTGAGGTCTGATTATTTAGCCATGATGATGCAAGAATGTAAGAACACCAGATAGAGATGCAATAATCAGAGTGAACCAAGCTGGGACAAGCAAAGAAGCAGAGTCTGCTGGTTTTCAGATACT